TTATACATAGATAAATACATACATACTTACATAGATACGTAGCTACATACCTACGTAGATACATACCTACACACACACACACACACACACACACATATATATATATATATATTACCTGGGTGTGTACATGTCCTTTTATTGTTTTACCTAGAAAACGTGCTAAGATTCGTACTTTTGCAGGCTGTTGTTCTGTGAGAATCTTTGTCCATAACGAGAAACATCTACAAAAAAATACTCAATTTTTTATCAGTTTGGGGGAACTCATACTTTTGTAGTCATGTCAATTTCGCAAACATGAGGAACCATGCCGATAGTCAAATTTATGTTAGCTGGAAATGGCAGACCTTTATCTGTATTTCTATTTCCCTTTGTATATGTTGAACGTTCCATGCACCGAAAGGGCATATCAGTTTCCCCACAAATTGTTGACTAGTATATCGAAAACCTTTCTATATATACCCGAGAAAGTGATTGGAGAAAGTGATTGATAACGAACACTTGTAAGAGACCTCGCATACAGTGCTTGGTACACAGAGCATGCAAGTAGGGACATCCCGTTTATCACACCTTTCGCGTTGCGTCCATTGCAGAGATGGATTTGATTGGCGCTTTCCGCAGGGTGTGTACGATCCCGCAGATAAGACATTGCGAAAGGTATGCGTGTTGTATAGTGTAGCGTGTATGAACGCCTGTGTGCTGATATCACGGTAGTATGAGGGTGTATATAGCGGTGTTTCTCTTCGCTAGTAATATATTCACCCCAGACGATGGGTTGCGCTGAATAAGCCGCACAGGGTCTGTTTGCACACTTACTAGCAACACCTGGTATTATGCGGCATGGAATGAAGCTGAAGCAAGAGTAATTGTTCCATCAATACAAGATAGAGGTTCTCCATATGCAGCATGCATGTTCGAGTGAATACAACCTGCTCCTAGTGTGTATGGCCTGATATTGTGTAACCCTTCACGGCTGCTCACGCCAGATTACAGCGTTTCACTTCCAACTAACAGTGTCATACAAATACGCTCCGTATGCTACAAAATGATCATCTCAAACGCACAACTTCTCATGATTCTACGCACAGGCGGCTGAGCGTGTGGCAGTCGAGACATGTTTCAACGACCTACCCGTGAACGGGCCGGAGAATAAGCTGTATTTTATCGGTAACATCCCCTCTGGTCATATGGAGTACGTGTACCCCGACGAGTACACAGCCGCCGATAAGACCAAGGCCTGCGATGTATGTGGTGTGGGAGTGTGGTTGGTTGTTTCTCTATGAGTGTAGTGTGAAACATAATTTTTTTATATAGGCCGTGAGAACTATGGGATATACATACACACACACATACACACACACACACACACACACACATACACACACACATACACACACACACACACACATACACACACACACATACACACACACACAGATATATATATATAAATACATATAGTAACTAAGGCACCCCTCTTCACTTAGTGGTTTTGTTGTACACCCACAAGTGAGCATGGGAACATGTTATAGGGGGTGAATGTACTTTTTATAGGGGGTGAACGTACTGCTATCGCCAACACTGGGTCGGGTGGATTAGATGAAAACTCTCATGTACTTCACTATTTTGAAACGCTCTTGTATTTTAAAATACTTGTGTATTTTGAAACTCTCATGTATTTTAACACATGTGTTTTAAAACATTCATGTATTTTAACACTCGTGTATTTTAAACCACTCATGTGTTTTGAAACACTCGTCTATTTTAGAACTCTCGTGTATTCTAACACTTGTATTTTGCAACATTCATGCACTTTAACACTCATGTATTTTTAAACTCAAGTATTTTAAAACTCTCATGTATTTTGAAACTTTCATGTATTTTAACACTCTTGTATTTTATCACTCTCATGTATTTTAAAACTCGGCAGTCAGGATGGACATGCACACACACCTCGTCGCATGGGGCCCAAAAGTAGGTACAGAAATCCAACCGAAAGTTGTATTTGCAGGACAAGATCTTGATCCTGAGATGACATGGGACACCAAATAGTACAATTAGTTATGTAGAAAAGTACAATTGGTTATGCAAAATAGCACAATTAGTTATGTAAAATAGTACAATTAGTTATGTAAGATAGTACAATTAGTTATGTAAAATAGTACAATTAGTTATGTAAAATAGTACAATTAGATATGTAAAATAGTACAATTAATTATGTATGTAAGATAGCACAATTAGTTATATACGATAGCACAATTAGTTATGTAAGATAGCACAATTAGTTATGTAAAATAGCACAATTAGTTATGTAAGATAGTACAACTAGTTATGATATGTAAAGATCTTAATCTTGAGATGGCATGTAACACCAAATAACTCATAGGAGAGAGTGTCTGTGCTATTCAACTGCGGGTATCTCTCTAGTACATCATCACACGCTCGTAATCATCATAACTTATATCTATGGAGAGAGTGTCTGGTTATATGTTGTGGTAGTATTATCACTCCCTTGCCTTCGATTATTGGACAACTGTCGAAAGCTCCGACGTCTCCTCATACTCATTTAAAACACTCACTTATAGCACACTCCCTTATAACACTCACTTATAACACTCACTTATTGCACTCCCTTATAACACCTATTTGTAACACCCTTTTATAAGACTTACCTATATCACACCTTTATAACACTCGCTTATATGACTCACTTATATAACACACTTATAACACTCACTTATAACAATCACTTATAACACTCACTTTAATCACTCGCGCAGTATTAGAACACCCTAACCCTCCCCCTACCTGTCGGGATGGAGTTTGTAGTATACTTATATAACTCACTTAAAACACTCCCTTATATACCCACTTATAACACTCCCTTATAATACTCACTTAAATCACTCGCGCAGTATTAGAACACCCTAACTCTCACCCTACCTGCCGGGATGGAGTGTGTAGTATACTTATATAACTCACTCATAACACTCACGTAAATCACTCGCGCAGTATTGGAATACCCTAACCCTCCCCCTAGATGTCGGGATGGAGTGTGTAGTATACTTATATAACTCACTTGTATCACTCCAAAACACTCCCTTATATACCCACTTATAACACTACCTTATAACACTAACTTAAATCACTCGCGCAGTATTAGAACACCCTAACCCTCCCCCTCCCTGTCGGGATGGAGGGCGTAATATATGTTAGGGTAAATGGAGGGCGTAGTATATGTTAAGGTAGCATTGGTCACTTATAACACTCACTTATAACACTCACTTAAATCACTCACTTAAATCACTCACTTAAATCACTCGCACAGTGTTAGAACACGCTACCCCCCCTACCTGTCGGATGGAGGGCGTAGTATATGTTAAGGTAGCATTGGTCACTTATAGCACTCCCTTATAACACTCACATAAATCACTCGCGCAGTATTAGAACACCCTACCCCCCCCCCTACATGTTCGGATGGAGGGCGTAGTATATGTTAAGGTAGCATTGGTCACTTATAACACTCACTTATAACACCCACTTATAACACACCCTTATAACACTCACTTAAATCACTCGCGCAGTATTAGAACACCCTACCCCTCCCTACCTGTCGGGATGGAGGGCGTAGTATATGTTAAGGTAGCATTGGTCTCCCCACACCACCGCGTCTTTGTAATCCTTCGACAGCGCCAGGACATCTTGTTGATGGTTCATGGCTCTCATGCGGTCTAAATCCTGCAGAAACAGTACGCGTACGAATACGGTAACGGCACATGTGTAGGTATATGTACAAGTAAATAGACACAGTCGTAGGGTGGTATATGGTGGTTCATGGCTCTCATGCGGTCTAAATCCTGCAGAAACAGTACGCGTACGAATACGTGTAGGTATATGTATGTACATAGACACAGTCGTAGGGTGGTATTGATCTTGGCTTGTGCTTGCAGGGAAGCAATCCATCTCGCATATATTAACGGCACATGTACGTACACGCATTCATCTGGCCGTATACGCATTGCCTGATGCGCATGGGGTAGAACGTACAAGCACGTGAAGCATATACCGACATGTATGTGACATGTGCGCAGATGAAGCCGTAGAGTGGTATATAACTTGGATTGTACTTTCTTTTAATCAGCCATTTACTTAAATGAATTCATATTGCGGTATATGGCTTGGTTTGTACTGACATTTAACTAATACAAACAGATATATATATATATATATATATTCATAAACATTTGAAAATATGAATTCATATCATGTTGTATAACTTGGTTTGTGCTTGCAAAAATACACTACAAACAAAGTTACATTCACAGAAACGTACTACGATACGTCTATACACTTGAGCACCGCCTCCATCGGCGTATACTAAGGCGCGAGACCGTACAAGTACACTTACGTGGATAGCTTTATGAGCCAGAGGCGTGCTAGTGTGTATATGGGCGTTGGTATCATATTGGAGAATACAAAATACAGGTTATAGATAGTCTATGTGGTATCTATTCGCGAATGCGTGCGCGAGCGCGCGCGTGTTTGTGTTTGTGCGTGTGTGTTGCGTGTGAGTGAGTGAGTGAGTGAGTGAGTGAGTGAGTGAGTGAGTGAGTGTGTGTGTGTGTGTGTGTGTGTGTGTGTGTGTGTGTGTGTGTGTGTGTGTGTGTGTGTGTGTGTGTGTGTGTGTGTCGTACGTACTACTACTAC